TATGTATTGTATGGTAGCCACTATGTTACTGTATTTTACAAAGTAAGAACTTGTGTTATGTTTCTATTCATTTATATTGAGGTAGAATAAAAACAAATAATACAAAATTAAAGACTTGGCAATTCAGGAAAAGTTTATTTATGTAATTTGTGAAAGTCTAAGAAATAACTTTATCACTGATCAACTGATCTTAACACATGAAAAGGAATATCTTTACATAAACACCCAGTTGAACTTGCAGTTTCTTGGTGAATAATTTGTTTCTCAAGTTATATTCAAAATAGCTAAGCCAAGAATACTAGCCAAATCAAAACGACCCATATGAATATAACTGGAAACTACACATTTATTGGTTACTGTGTAAGCATGGTAATATAGGAAACAGGATGTCCATAAGCATTTACACCTACACCAATGCTAAATCTCGACCACCAAGTAAGATAACTAGCAACTTTATTAGATAGGATACAAATTATTGATTTGTACAGAGCCATATCATAAATATTTTCTCAATCATTGTATTGTAAATAAGCCAGCAAATTCTATCCAACTGTATTCTAAGAGCAGCAATCCAAATAGTTTCTGTAGGATACTTCTGCTTTTGAACATATTGGATTGGCCCAGACTTCTTACAAAGTCATAAACATTTTATAATACTTCTGACAATTGTCTTGCAACCATTATACTGTCAAAAAGTTGATATATCCTGTCTCACTGTGATTTCAAAGAAGGGAAAATTCTGGGAATTGCACTGCATGAACCTAAACAGGAATGGTGATTCATTGCTTTATATTTGGCAGGTTTCTACTTCAGCCACAAACAGTAGAATAACAATAGGAAATAGGTGCAAAAAAGATTAGAAGAAACTCTCAGGAGATTTACTTGGAACTTTATTGTCCATACTGAAAAGAACAGAGTACTATTCATTTTGATTCTTCTAATTTTTAAGTCATCTATTAGCAATAAAACAACTACAGACAATGAGTGTGAAAAGGTGAGAGAGTAAACTCAAAATTACTTTGTACATTGGATAGTCAACATTCTGAAAGAAAAAAATTATGAGGAAATCTTTAATAAAAAATCTTAAAACATAATTCAAAAACCAGATATTTTGTGTATGAAATCCTTGTAATGTTTACTAAAAATCTGCAAAATTTTGTAAAGACTTCCATACATTTTCAAAAATTCCACCCAGCCTCTAATGGAAGGGTTAATGCAGTTACTTGCACTCAGATTCTGAATAGTGAAAGGTGATTTTCATGATAAATATAAAAATACAATTTTGAATCTTACATTTTTTTCACATTTCACTTACATAATCTCTAGAACCTCCTAAATGAATATCAAACGTTTTTTTCAAGGTAAATGTTTATATTTTATTTTCCATTTCTTTACCATATCACTAACTCTAACTATCATCATCAATGTACAGTGCAATGAAATTTTTAAAATTAAGAAATAAAAATATGTGCAAATCTTTTTAGCTCTTCGTTGAATAATCTTAGAATATCTTCTTTGGGTCATATGCATAATTTCACATCTTTATCTTTTCACTTATAGTTTATTTTTAATGTTTTATTTTCCTTTCTTTATCATCGATTATTTATATTAAGACGTGTAAATAGGTGACTACAGGCAATATAATGTTATCTTCGACAGAGATGGTTTACCATCTGGCAAAATTTTTTGCATTTGCTTGGAAATTTTAGCCTTTTGGAGTGAGACAAAGTCTTGATTATTATATAAAATTTATTAAACCTTTCAAATATGAATTTCAAAACATAAGTAATATATAATTAACTAAAATAAAAAAGTAAAACCTAAATCTAACCCCATCTCTCACTATAACATATTTAGGTAAGAAACAACCATAAGGACTATCGTGGATAAAGCAGCAAATAATATTATTGGCAGTTGCATTTACCTAATGACAACTGTACACCAATTTCAAAATAACCACTGTTGGATTATAGTGTAAAATGAGCTTATTCTAATGTGTCAAGTATGTACATGTGGCTTGTAAATCTCAAGGCTACTGAATTCAGCCAAATAACTTTGAAACTTACATGTCAATAGGGCAAATAAATGTACTTATTGTCTAGACATACATCTACAGGACTGGGGTTGTCTGATTCAAGATAGAGAATGCAAAAGTTGACATTTTTCATAGTTCATGGTCACATGACAACAAAACTTGAGTATTTTTTTAAAAGGTTTCTTTTGAAACCAAGGAATTAAAACTTAGATTATATAAAACTTTGTATTATAATGTACTTGATAATAATAATTTCAATAAATACATTGATAGTAAAGTGGTTTAATTAAATTTTGAACATGTGCAGAAAGAAGTTTAAAAAGTACATCATCCTTAAAGGGTTAAAGTAGGCCCAAAGAATAAAAAACATTTATGCTGTCCTGTAGACATACTGTGGTGAATAAGGAACATCATAAACAAATTCTAACAATCTTAGTTCAAGATGCTTCATTTTCTAACCACTATAAAAAAAAACACTTTAAGTTCAATACATACTAGAAAAATTAAATCTGTCTCACCCCTTCAACCACTGAAGAATCAACTCCTTCCTTTCTAATTGTCATCTGTGGCTGTGGATCTCCTCTTGCACGGCACTCAAGCACTGCAGTTTTGGATATTCCTACCGTGATATTTTCTAGTGTAACAATCTTTGGCTTTACTAAATTAAAAAACAAAAATTCAACCACGGTTAATATATAACAACTAAAGAGGGTTAGTTTTTTAATTACTTGCAATTTTTTAAGTTATAAAATAAATATTGATATACTTTTTATTAAATGATGAAATATAAGAAGCACATTTAAAAGTATTACATTATAGCACTAAATACTTTATTATCTTCTTCATAAGGATAACCTAAATATTAATCACTTTCCTAACCAGTGGCAGTCTGGATTGGAGACAAGTCAGCCAAACATAATGTAAACCTTATCATAATTATAAATATCACCATGTAAATTTCTTCTTTCCAAGTATCTCCATATGTCAGAATTTTGCCTATTGTTTTAGGCTTTCTTGCCATCTTACTATTGTGCTAGTTAGCTTATATGAAGATAAAATTAATATTCTGCAGTTCAATTTAGTAACTGTAATTGTGAAAATACAGAGTATGTGTGGGTGTACCTGCTTATACACGCGCATTCTTTGAACTGTGTTGTAATTCCATCATATGAAGAGCACTTTAAAGAGTTGGAAAGCTTGTGGGTTAACTCTTTCATCATTGGCTTGGTCCCTGAGACTGACCTCGTAATCACTTTGTGCTTGTTATAGTTTTCATGCTATAACTTTTAAATTAGTAGCGAATATTAAAGAAATTTTGCAGATTATCAGTAAACATTACAATGCTTTCATAGGCAAAATATCTATTTTTTTTATTGAGTCTTAAGGTTTATAAAGCAATGTTTTTCTCATTTCTATTTTTCTTTTCACATGTTGCCTATCTATCATGCAAAGTAATATCTATTTTAAGATTAAAAATACTTTTATGCATCAGAAAATTTTGAAATTTCACATGCAAAATCTTTATAATGTCGAAATAGTTATCAAATGTTTCCTAAAAAACTATATTTTATCTGTTATTTTCTATATTTAATCTCTGTACAGGTTTGGTAGATTTGACTGATCTCACAACCACCCATAAAAAATTAGGAAATAAATATAAATTATGCCTCTTTCATTCAAGAATGAACACAAATTATAACACAAAAACATAAATGTTTAGACTAAATAGCTTAAATCTCATAACATTATACATTCATATATATTTATTATAGTGACCTTTCAGTCGTGCCTGGCTAACAGTACAGAAATTACAATGACGCAGCTCACATGTACTCATGTTACCGTATCAAATAACATAAAACTGACCTTTGGTCTGTGCAAAGTAACTTGTCTTGGCTGTGTTTTAGTAGACTAGTATTTTGTAAAATACAGTCAAATTTCAATTATTATACATTATATATGTATATACATTATTGCTCTTTTGAAATAAGATCTTAAACATATTTTTCCTAAGACATAGAACAGTAGATAAAGAAGTAAAGAAAACAATTATCTCTTCTAGTTTCGACATTTGTACTCGGTTGCTACTTGACGTAGGTTGCTAAGCTTTTAAAAATTTTGCACGTGGAGGATATGAAACAATATTTTTTTTGGTTTTATTATATAAA